CAGGCTGTTCTCATGATAGTGAATAAGTCTCATGAGATCTGATGGTTTTAAAAATGGGAGTTTCTCTGCACAAGTTCTCTCTTTTTCCCTACCGCCATCCATGTAAGATGTGACTTGCTCCTCCTTGCCTTCCGCCATGATTGTGAGGCCTCCCCAGCCACGTGGAACTGAGTCCAATTAAACCTCTTTCTTTTGTAAATTGCCCAGTCTCAGGTATGTCTTTGTCAGGAGTGTGAAAGTGGACTAATACAGCAACCATCTGTTAATTAATCTTCTGTCTCTATATGTTTTCCTATTATGGACTGTTAAAGGCTGAATTGTGTCCTCTTGATATTCATATGTTGTAGTTCTAACTCACAGTTCTTCAAAATGTGACAGTATTTGAAGACAGGGTCTTGAAAGAGGTAATTAAGCAATAGTGAGGTCACCAAAGTGGGCTCTAATCCAATGCAACTCATTCCTTAAAAGAACAGATTAGGGCACAGGCACAGAGGGAAGATCATGTGAAGACATAGGGAGAAGATGGCCATCCCTAAGCCAAGAAGAGCAGCTTCAGAATGAAACCACCCCTGCTGATACCTTGATCTCAGATTTCTAGCCTCCAAAACTGTGAGAAAATCCATGTCTGTTGTTTAAGCCATCAAGTCTATGGTACTTTGTTGTGACAGCCCTAGAAAATGAATACATTTCATATAAATGAAATCATACAATATCTGGTCCATTGTGATGGGCTTCTTTTACCTACCATAATGTTTTCCAGGTTCACCTATATTGTAGCATATATCAATACTTCATTCCTTTTATGACCAAATAATCTTCCTTTGTATAGATATACACATTTTGTTGATCTATTAGTTAGCTGAGGGACATTCGGATTGTTTACATTTTTTGGCTATTTTGAATAATGTTGCTATGAATATTGACGTAAAAGGTTTTGTGTGGACTTACATTTTCATATTTCTTGACTATATATCTAGGAGTGCAATTGCTGGCTGACAGATAACTCTATGCTTCACCTTTTGCAGAACTGCCAGATTGTTGTCCAAAGTGGCTGCACCATATTACATTTCCAGCAATTCATGAGAGTTCCACTTTTTCCACATCTTCACCAACACTTGCTGTTATCTGGCTTCTTTATTATAGCCATCCTAGTGTATTCATAATAGTATCTCAATGCAGTTTTGATTTGCATTTCCCTAATGGCTAATGATGTTAAGCATCTTTCAGGTGTTATTGGCCATTTGTATATCTTTTTTTGGAGAAATGTATATTTTGATCTTTCCTTACTTTTAATTCAGTTATTTTTCTTTTCATTATTGAGTTGTAAGATTCCTTTACAGGCAAGAAATGCAAGTCTCTTATCATATATATGATTTTCAAAACTTTTCTTCCATTCTGTTGTCTTTTCATTTTCTTGATGGCATTCTTTGAAGCATAAATAGTTTTAATTTTAATGATATATTCTCTACCTTTTAGTAACATCCCATATGATAAGTTGAACCTTCCCAAGGTAGAAACTAGAAATCTTCCATACCAAAACTCCTTTGTAGCTAGGATAACCTAGATTCCACCAATCAGATCTACCCATGATAGTCTTAGATTTTGGAAATGAGCAACCCAAGGAATTGGCTGCATGGAGAGGAATTGATATGATGATGGAGGCCTCTAGATCTTCAAGATCAGAATTGGGAGAAGCTGTTGGTATCCATCCTGGTTTCCTCATTGGTACAAAGCAATAGTGGCAAAGGAAAATTTGCTCAAGAAGCTCCTGTGGTATTTCCAGGAATTGTTCCTGAATGGCTCAGAGCCTACTGTCTGCCCCTCCTTGATTTTCTGTAATCTGCCTAATATTCTTGAATAAACCCCCTTCCTGATTAAACTAATCAGAATGGATTCTGTTGTTGGCAACTCAGAACCTTGACCATTAAATACCCAGTCTTAACAGAATAAGGGAATTCTAGGACTTCAGGAACTATAGACCTTGCTACTTCAGCAAAAGTAAACTGCTTTATGTCTTTTAAAAAGTGACCTAACCCTTATCTGTTATCAAGTAGGCCCCATTTTCCTACAATTGTACTTTTAAAAACTTTTCACAAGGTACTTAAGAAAAATATAATCCTTAATATAAATTCAAAATAACCTGGCAAAGACTTTCAAACTGCATAGTTTTCCTTGATGGTAGGTGATATGGTTTGGCTAAGTCCCCACCCAAATCTCATCTTGAATTCCCATGTGTTGTGGGAGGGACCCGGTGGGAGGCACTTGAATCACAGAGGGCAGGTCTTTCCTGTGCTATTCTCCTGACAGTGAATAAGTCTCACGAGATTTGATGATTATATAAGGGGGAGTTTCCCTGCACAAGCTCTCTCTCTTTTTGCCTGCTGGCATCTATGTAAGATATGGCTTGCTCTTCCTTGTCTTCTGCCATGATTGTGAGGCCTCCCCAGCCCCGTGAAACTGTGAGTCCCATTAAACCTCTTGTAAATTGCCCAGTCTCAGGTAGGTCTCTAATCAGCAGCATGAAAACGGACTAACACAGTAGATTTCCAGGAGTGAAGTGAATCTGCTTAGTTTTTCCACACACTTAACTTACTTCATGATCAGTGGTCAGAATTTGCAGGTGGTTGCACAGATGAACCCAGATGTTGAAACAGAACACAGGTGCTGGCCACATGGAAATTAGCTATGAGCATTGGTCTTACTGGTTTTGTGCTTAAGTTGCTCCACAATAACCAACAGATGAGAATGACCTTTCCTCTGAAGGAGAATGAACAACAAATTGGGGAAAAGGAAAGATTATCATGCTTCCTTAAGAGGTGCTAAACCAATAGCAACTAGAATTAAGAATGAGAGATACTCTCTCCTTGATTCAGGGCCCCATCTGGATTCCTAAGCCAGTTCTACATGCAAAGTTCTGAGAGTCACTTACAGTGATTTCATGACTTCTTAAAAGTTTATTTCAGCCTAGCTATACTGTTCCAAATTTACCTGATATTTTTCCAATACTGTATTGAATTGATTAATTGGACTTACATAAGGGAAGCTACATTACTGGGCAACGGCATGTTCAAAAAAGCAAGACATTAAGGAGCTTAAGAAATATTTTTGCAAACTCAAGGCCACCAATGCTTATTCCAAACTTTAAATCTTTAGAGATCAAAAGTCCTGCTAGAGGATAAAGCATACCAAAGCCATAGAGAAACGTTAGTTTTGGCAAGATGAGCAAAGAGAAGTGGAAAGAAAGGAAGCAAACAAAATACAAAGAGGAAATTCTACCTTGACTCTCTTCACAGAATTTTTATTTAAAAACAGCAAACAATCAGTCAGCAGTCTTTTCATATCATCAAAAAAAAAAATAATAACTAAAAGAAAGATACTGGAAATGAGCGACCCCTGCAGGCTCTGCTCTTTCAACATGTGAAACTCTGAGGTTAAAAGGTTTTATGGAATTTAATCCCTTTGGAAATTAAGAGAAGGGCCAAAGTCATGTTATCAACCTCAGGAGTTGGCTAGTTGGTTGTCTCATTCTAGATAAGAAATCCACTCTCCCTTCATATATATGGATATTCCATTAGATCACACCCCATCCCTAGAATATAACAATTCAATCCAGTGGCCTTTAATAAAGGTACCAAGTCCAACACTCCAACAAGACAGTTAAGAAGTTATTCAGCTGTGTTTGTCTAACAGAAATAGCAGAAATACAGTTCAAATCCTTTCCAAAAGTTGTCAATTTAGTTGACTTTAAAAAATGAAACCCTATTGGTCTATAGAACAATAATGCTATTTGCAAAGTTTAATCCAGTATAAGAACATTTCTTCCTTCCCTAAGACGTAAGTACTCAGCAATGATAAACACATGGGGATAGAGTAGAAACCTCCCCCTTTTCATGCCTCACCACTTCAAATTTACTGGTCTCAGAACTAGTAAACTCAAATCCACAGTGAGAATTCTTTTTTCTAGCAGAACTCATGTGAGTAGGGTGAATAATGGAAATTATGTTTCATAGTAAAAGCTCCACAAATCAGCCCTGTACAGCCAGTGTAAGCCCAACTGCAACATTTGGCTTGCACTCAAAGAAAGAACAAAATACAACTGCAGCCCATACTTGGATACACCTGAATTTATGGCTCATTTCTCTGCTTGCTCCATGCTCCATGGGACTGATCTGAGTAAGTTTCATTTTCATTGAAAGAAACCCAACTCCAGGCCACAAAAATCAATAAGAGCCCTGTACTCAGTTTGGCTGCAAAGCTAGAAAACAAGGTGAGAAATGAACCCTATGTTAATAAAAGGAAATAGAGTACATATACATACACTCACCCACATACAGGTGATTGAACTCACTTCCAGATGGGCTGCCAGAGGAAGCTTATTGTAACCAAGCTGGCAGAGGGCACAGAAAGTGATTAGTTGTCAGAAACATAACAATGAGGCCCTCTCTCCCCACCCAAAAATATGAAGAAAGACCAGCAACATTAATGGGAGTGAGATCTGATTGTATCACTAAGGGCAGCAATTTCTATCTTTTGCTGAGATCTGAGTGACTTGGTAAGTCATTCTATATATATATATATGTATATATATATATTAGACTTAGACTTAGGGGATACAAGTTCCATTTTGTTATGTGGATATGTTGCATGTTGGTGAAGTCTGGACTTTTAGCATAACCAACATCTGAATAGTGTATATTGTACCCATAAAGTAATTTCTCATCCCTCACCCCCTCCCATGCTCTCACCCTTCCGAATCTCCAGTATCTGTTATTCTACTCTCCATGTCCATGTGTACACATTATTTGGATCCCACTTATAAATGAAAATATGTGGTATTTGTCTTTCTGTGTCTTAATTGTTTCACTTAGGACTTAGGATAATGGCCTCCAGTTCCATCCACGTTGTTGCAAAAGACATGATTTCATTCTTTTTTATGGCTGAGTAGTATTCCATAGTGTGTGTATATATATATATCACATTTTCTACATCCAATCATCCATTGATGGACACTTAGGTTGATTCCATCTCTTTGTTATTGTGAATAGTGCTGTGGTAAACATGCAAGTGCGGGTATTTTTTGGATATAATGGTTTCTTTTCCTTTGGGTAGATACCCAGTACTGGGACTGCTAGATTGAATGTTTCTTCGAGAAATATCCATACTGTTTTTCATGGAAGTTGTACTAATTTACATTTTCCCCAAATAGGGTAGCACAAGGGAGAGGGTAAGAAAGGAGTATTAAAATTTTAACGTGTTATCAGTGAAGGGAGAACCCCTGTCTTAAGGACTCAAATCTGGGTTCTTTCTCTGGACAATATCTCAGAAGTCTTCTAGCAAATCAAGGTGGTATGTGTGTAAGTGCATGGGGGGCAGGGTGTGTGGATGTTTAATGTGAATATCCCAGGGAGTTAAGCCTACCATTGAGGAATATTTCACTCTCGGAAAACAAGCACAAAGCGATCCTCACTTTATATCTAATTTGCCTTGTGGATTCTCAATGTTAATAGAGTAATCTCTATTCACATGGGCAAAGAAAAACCTTGTTCTGGGTACTGTATAAATATTCTTATAAAGAGAATTTCCAGGAGCCCAGACTAATCCTTCATATCTGTCCCCGTAGATTTAAGCAAATAAGCCTTCATCCACATGCCGATATCTCACAGGAGCAGTTCTGAGCAGAGCTGACTTCTGGTTTCCCTCCTCTGGAAAACTCTAGGAATCCACAGAGGGGGTCATTTTGACTTTCTGGGGTCCCCAGAAAGCTGCTGAGGGTGACTTTGCAGTCTGAAGTGTGAAGGCAGAGAAAGTAAGAGCAGAGCTCTTACCACAATAGGCACAGTATTAAACTCTCAACATTTATCATCTTCATAAGTGTTGAAGAAAATTCAATTATTTTTCATATTTTGTAGATGAGAAAACAGACGCTAAGAGGGCAGTGGCTTGCCCAAGCCTGTGTAGCTTAGGCATCTGCTGCTGAGCCCCTGTTCTTAAACACATAGTTCTCTGCCTTAGGAAGGGTTTCCATGGCCAACCTTGTTCTTTGCAATTCTTGTGCTAGGTAACTGACATCTCTAAAATGACCAATTCCATACAGCAAAAACTTTAGCAAGATGTGTGATGTAGCTTGCTCAGAACTGGCAAGGCCTTTCTTTCTTCATGCTATTCCTGACATAGATATTCCCAACACACATGTTCCTGTCAATATACTCCTGATACATATAATGTAGCAGAATTATTTTTCCTGCCTAACTGACCACCTGCTACCCAAAGGTTGTTTATACAGACATCTACTTCTACCTCTGCGACATAGTGGTAACAGCACAGACTTTCAAGGTGGTTCTGAGTGTGAATCCTGGCCACTGACGTACTACCTTGAGTTCCAGATGTAATAGGACCAAGGCCCAGCCAGCACTGGGGCACAGGGCATGAGAGTGCAGTTCATGTCTGTGAGGCTGCAGACAAAGCTGTGCATCCTACTGCAGAGCTGGCTCACCCTGAGGTGTGACTGTGTGAAAACTAAAAGCCACAAGCCAATCGTTGTAGGCCAGGCCATGGAGGATGTGATGTCCTCTAAGCTGAACCTGTGGAGTGTCATGGTCCCCTGAATACTGCTGTGAAAGCATCCTGCACCACCAGCACCTGGGATCACTGCCAGAGAAGAGGCCTCTTCCCCCACGCTCTTCAGCAGCAGTTCCAGCGTGGAGCTTTGCCTCCCATTCCCCCTACCTCCCACGGGCATCATCCCTCTATTGCCCATGCCCACGAGGTGACTTACTCCAGAACCTCCTCTACTCCCGCCATCCTGTGCTGGGGCTGAGTGAGGGAATTAGAAGTGCTTTAATGAAAAGAGATCTGGATGCAATTCTGGTTCTGAAGAATTCCAACACTGGGGCAAGATGGTGTGCTTGTACCTAAGGGTGCTGGAGAACCAGGGAACTGGACTCTGCCTGCTTCTGTGCCTTGGGCTCAGCCTTCCCCAGGGCACCGTGTACTCAGCCATCAGTACCCATCTGTTGTGAGGAGTGTTCTGAGATCAGCCTGCACTGGACATTTGCAAGCATCTGGATCCCTGAACTGCTAATAGAAAGAGGTTGGTCTTTTGAAGAAGGTTCCATCTGACTTCTGGACTCCTGGCTATTTTCAGAAAGTGTGTTTTCTGGAACTTCATTCTAGGGATAGAAGGAAACAGACTACGTCAGTTTTAAAACCTGCTTAATTAACGTGCTCTAAATCCGGAAATGATTCAAATGTTTGTCAGTTGGTGACTGGATAAACAAACTGTGGGATATCCATACAATGAGATACTTACCAATATAAAGGAATGAACTATTTTTATTATACGTAATAGCACGAACAAATCTCAAAATAATGGTGTGTGAAGAAGTCAGATGAAAAAGGGGCCATACTGCATGATTCCATTCATATAAAAATTTAGAAAATACAGCCTATAGTGACAGAAAGCATGTGAGTGGTTGTCTGAGGTTGAGGGTATGGGTCAGGGAGAAGTGAGAGGGAAGGATCAAAAAGGGGCATCAGGAAACCTTTGGGGTGATTGATATATTCATTTTTGATTGTGGTGATGGTTTAATTGGTATATACATATGTAAAATCAAACTGTACATGTTGAACATATGTAATCTATTGTATATCAATAACATGTCAATAAACCTGCAAAAAATATGCAATATATACAAGATACTTAGCAGTGTGCCTGGCATGCAGTCTGTGCTTGCTAAATAGGAGCTATGTTGCCATTTTCACACTTGGCTTCACTCTCACCTACTTTAATGAGAACAGGAGCTAAAGACATGAAGACCCCAATCCTATGAGGTGTCTCAAATGGACTCTGCCCAAAAGCTGAGGGAAGCTCTGTATGCATCAGAACTAGAGCCAGTATGGAAAGAGATTCAGAAATTGGTTTAGGAACATCTTCCAACCAAAGTGACACTTCCCAAAAACACATGTTGTAATATCAGTGTTATAGGAGGAAAAAACCTTCTTGAAATATATTTCTGATAATGCCTATAATTCTGAAAGCACATTTCGGCCTGCTTTCTTACCTTGTCTAGACTGAAGAATTGTTTCAATTTAGTATCAATCAGCCCCTTGATTCTAAAATGTCATTGCCCAGGTGTAGACAGCTCACCCCATGGCATGAGGACTCTTCCTCGTGCATTTCTGCAACCCCGGGCTCTAGGTTTGGTTGAGTACTGCAATCAAGCTTCCCCCACAGTCTGAGTTCATCTCTGCTGAGTTCAACAAACATTCATTCCAAGGAATATCCACTCGCCTTCATAAACATTGAAAATTTCAGAATCTCCCCCGGCCATCCTGTCATTGTTCATATGTGAATTAGGTGATTGCTTCTTTGGAGGGTTTGAGAGACTCCAGGAAGACCACCTTGATATGACAAAATTCCCACTGCACCCCCAGTGATTCCTTTTTCAATTAAATATTAACTTTAAAAAACACAAGCATGCCTTGGGTAAAGGAGGTAAATAGTGAGTAAATAGTTTATTTCTAGAGAGGAAAAAAGGGAGAATAATAATATTGGATCAAAGGATAAAACATCAACAACGGGGCATTTTTCTGAAAGATAAGTCTCACCAACTTTACCATTTAGGGGTCAGGGCCTCCCACTTCCTCTCAAAGGCCTGGCATTGGTAGCTTTTGCATTTGTATCAGCAAAACCCAGGGAGAGTGTTTCAGCCTGCTCTGAGGATCAGGCATCCAACACTCTTAAAAAATCTGTTGACAATGCCCTGTATAAAAAGGGAAATTTCAGCTGCTATTTTAATTAGGCGAAAGCCAATTTGAGACTTCAGTAATTTGACACTTTCTGATTTTCTTGGCCCCAGAATTTAGTCTCTTGGTTAATTGACAAACTATGTTTGGTTGGTTGGTTTGGTTTTTTGTGGTTTTGTTACTTTTCTGAGCCTCTATCTATCTGCCCTCTAATCACACAAGAGTTGTAATGTTTAATGTAGTTTCATACAGAAGTATCATAAAACTGATCAGAGAAGGTATAGTTATAAAAACTGAAACCTGAAACAGTGAGGAGGCCTGTGCCTGGGTTCATGGGGTCAGGCCAGAGAGATGGGAGTCCACCGGCTTCTTGGCCTCTGATGGCAATGTTGCTTTTTCTTCTAGGCCAGGCGCCTGACTCAGGGACCTCAGCTACAACTGCATGTCACACTTGGAATCAGTGCCTATTCAGACTCCAGGAAGTCTTACATGAGGATGAGGGATTGACCTGTCTCCAGGAGAGGCCATACCACATACACCTCTGTTCGGGGCTTCTGGTGATTCAGGAGGCCAGAGATGTAGGGGTTTGTACCCACCTCAGAAATAACACAGGAGAAGGTCAGAGGTCAGGGAAAAGCATGTACACAGAAGCAGCGGCCCCAAATCCCACATTAGTCAGGTGATTGATGGCTGACCCTGGGCAAAAGGGCGAAGCCAGCAAAATGCAACTTTTATTCTACAAACATTCATTGAGCAACTATCGTACACCAAGCGCTATACTAATCTGTGGAAAAATATTGGCGAACAGGAAACAAGAACTTACTGTTCAGTGGGAGATAGAGACTTAACTCAAATATCAGACTCTAAGCAAGTGGTCTCCCTGCCGTGAGGGCCCCCTTCTCCCTGTGATCAGACCTCTGAGCACATTTTTGTTCTTTAAGGACAGCGTCCTGTTTCTCCCAAATCCGTTTTTCTCTGGCATCCCTATTCCTTCAGTACTTTAAAATACTCAGTTTCTTCCTTTCCCTCCCTGGTCGACTGTTACTTGCCTGTCTCAGACTCCCTGACCCCTCCCTCACCCCTTCCTAACCTCAGTGCCACCGGATTGTCCTCCTTCTCCTGTTTTGCAGCCCAGCCCGTGTCAGGGCGGGGGCCTGGAGGAGCCCAAGGTGCTGCAGCAGAGGAGAGAAAAGAACAATGACCCTCAGCTGGTCAGTCTGGTCACTGGGTTCGCCGCCACCATGGCAATGAGACAGATGCCACTCACCTGCTCTGGTCACGAGTGGCCCGTGGTTGATTTGGCCTTCAGTGGCATCACGCCTTATGGATATTTCTTAATCAGCGCTTGCAAAGATGGTAAACCTATGCCATGCCAGGGAGATACAGGAGACTGAATTGGAACATTTTGGGGTCATAAAGGTGCTGTTTGGGGTACAACACTGAATGTCACCAAAGCAGCTACAGCAGCTGCAGATTTCACAGCCAAAGTGTGGGATGCTGTCTCAGGAGATGAATTGATGACCCTGGCTCATAAATACATTGTCAAATACATAAATATCCTGTGTATTTCATGGAGGATAGTAATTATTTGTTAACTGAGGGACAGGATAAACTGTTACGCATCTATGACTTGAACAAACCCGAAGCAAGACCTAAGGAAATTAGTGGTCACACTTCTGGTATAAAAAAGGCTCCTATGGTGCAGTGAGGATAAACAGATTCTTTCTGCTGATGATAAAACTGCTTGACTTTGGGATCATGCTACTCTGACAGAAGTGAAATCTCTAAATTTTAATATGTCTGTTAATGATATAAAAATATATTCCTGAAATTTTGGTTATAACTTATGGACAATCGATTGCTTTTCATAGTGCAGTAAGTTTGAACACAATTAAATCCTTTGAAGCTCCTGCAACCATCAATTCTGTATCTCTTCATCCTGAGAAAGAATTTCTTGTTGCAGGTGGTGAAATTTTTAAACTTTGTAAGTATGATTATAACCGTGGAGAAGAATTTGAATCCTACAAGGGACACTTTGGTCCTACTCACTGTGTGAGATTTAGTCCTGATGGAGAACACTATGCCAGTGGTTCTGAAAATGGAACATTGAGACTAGGGCAAACTGTGGTAGGAAAAACTTATGGCCTTTGGAATGTGTGCTTCCTGAAGAAGAGAGTGGTGAGCTGGCAAAGCCAAAGATTGGGTTTCCAGAGACAACAGAAGAGGAGCGAGAAGAACCAGCTTCAGAGAATTCTGATTACATCTATTCTTCAACTCCTAATGTGAAGGCCTGAGGGTCAATCATATGACGCAGTTAGTATCCAACTTATCGACTAAAATGAGCAAGCAGAGAAAAGCATCAGCCTTCCAGAGTTACTCTCTGCTTAAGGCAGAAAGAGCAGTAAATAATGGGGAAAAAAATTAGCTCCAGTGCTGGAACAATTAACTTGGTGTTACCTTTAAGTCAAAACTCAAGAGTATCAGATGAAGAGAGGTGGCGTTATCCTCTTATAGTACAGTGGCCTGTTATCTTTTTAATGACTATATACAAGCCAACATCCAATTTCTCTTGTTACAATTAGGGTTCTTGTAGCTGTTTATGTTATTATGGAGAAGAAAAATATATTGGCTTATTTTTCTGACTGTTTTCCTTAAAGCAGAATGCTTTTTTTTAATTTTATTTTTTGCTTTAGTTGTAAAGAAGAGGGAATACATGATAAAGTAACTGGTTTGATTTCTCTTTCATTGTACACTGCTTCTGAACATCTAATTGTTTTTAGTTGTCTAAATAAAATGCCTCTAAAACAAACAAACAAACAAAAATCTCCATTTACTGGGGAAAAGAAATCTATTGATTGATCACTCACCAATCCCATGTTACTTTTTTTCAAAGACATTTGCTTTTTAAGAAGGTCACCAAGAGAACAGCCCCTTATCCCAAAGAGTCATACCTCTCGGGTAGCAGAATTTCTGTCACAGGGAGAAAATGGAAAAAATATATACATTTAAAAAATAGTGACAGTATTTTAATATCCCTTTCTATGGATGTAATCTCACTTAATTTCATAACAATCACCTGAAGTAGCTAATGATATCACATAGATAAGGATATAAAATTCAGAAAATTCTGGTGTTTTACACAAGATCACACAGCCAAAAATAACAAAGTGAGACATGGACCAGATTCTCTGTTTCCCAAGCAGGGATCTTTCCACTGTACCACACACGCTTCCCTTGGCCACCCCTTCGTTCACGTTTTCAGGTTATCAGCTGGCTTGAATTAGGGTGGACGTGGACTCCGATGGAATAGCAATTTTTTATGGGACTTTCCTTAATTCAAACAGATACCTTGGGAATTACTTTTAGTTTTCCTAGGTGATCTGCCAAAAGTATTTCTCCTTCTATTTCCCTCTGAACCTAGCTAACTTAAGCTCCCATCTAAAATTTTGAGGTGTCAGAGAGAAAGGGAATAGAGGCTTACGGAAACAGGTCGATGCCCTCAGAGTCCTTGGGCATTGTTTATGGATTGGCCTGTCCTCTCACCTTCCACCAACAGAAGAATCAGCCTCTGTTGTTAAGAACCTCCCTACCACCCCTCTGGTGGCCTTGGCCCAGCCCTGGCCATAAAAAGGGATTTCATATCATTAGCGACTTCCCCTTCACAGTTCATTAGCATGAAATGTCTTGGCAGCTGAAATGACAAAGGGGACTCCCTCCTCACCAGTGATTTCATGGGGAGAGACAGAAAATATTGCGTCCTAAAAGCAGCCATCAGGCAGCTGTATCTGCTGCTTTTGTTTGTGGCTGTGACTCAATAGCAAGTTGAGATGCTGGAAAATACTTGTAGCACTCATCATCTGGCAACCAGATGGCAAGCTGGATTTAACTCTACATGGTAGATCTAGTGGATAAACTAGTTGAGTCTGGAAACCTAACTTTGTTCACATTACTAGAAGGCTCTGCTACCAAGGCTAAGCTGGACATGTGGGGTAAGCTGAGACACTCCAGATGGTCCCAAGGAGTTGTGATGTGTGTACACATGTATAGACATACATATAAATATATAAACACATATATACATGTACACACACTGTCATCCCCAGTATACGAGGGGTATTGGTTCCAGACACCAGTGTATACCAAAATCCCCACATGCTCAAGTCCCACAGTAGGCCCTACAGAACTGTGTATATGAAAAGTTGGCCCTCCCTTTACCCAGGTTTTGCATCCCTCAATCTGCATTTGCTTGAAAAAAATCCACCTATAAGTGGACCTGCATAGCTCAAACCCATGTGTGTAGTTCAACAGTTAACTGTATACTTATATACATATAAAAATGTATAAATGCATTTACTTTTTACCCAATATTTGTTGTCTCCCTCTCAAAGAAAATGGAAGATATAGTTGTATTAGGCCCCTGAGCAAGTTGCAGTTGAGGTCAGACCATCACGTTCAAATATCTTTTCTAGAATAACTGAATATGGTTTCATGAGTTACAGCCAGAAAAAATAGAAGTTGAGAACAATAGTCCCCAAGGCTATTTCAAATGTGCACTTCTTTAAAGAACAAAAAGAATGAGTGACACTATTAACCAAGTCTCGCCATTGATACCAAAGATGACACTCATAGCTCATGCTGTACGTTTGAAAATACCAGCATTGACCCACACTAAACTTGCAGATTTTCTTTCTGCCTTGGTCCTCTTGGTTTAACTATCATAAATATGCAGCATTCCCCCCAGCCTCACCTCTGCTTACTTACCAAGTAGAAATTGAAGGATAGAGGTGAAGGTGGTTTAGTATAGAATTTATTTCTGCCATTTGCCCAGGACAGTGCATCAAATACTCCCTAGGATGGACCACAATGAGCCATGATTCTGGTATTCACACTGTTGTATAATTTTCTCTCCTTGGTTATGTGCTGAAGTTGACTTGCTTCTAATAAATGTGAAAAAATGATGAGATGTCACTTCAAGATTAGATCACAAAAAGACTGTGACTTCCATCTTCGGTGCACATTTGGGTGCATATGGGTGCACATTTTCTTGCTCACTCTCTTTTGTTCTGTCTCTTACTCTCGCTTTCTCACTCCTGCTTTCTTTGTTCTCTCTTTCTGCGGGAAGTCAGCTACCATGTTGTGATTTAGCCCAGTGAAGAAGGACCTGTCAATAATTGCATAAGTGAAATTGGAAACAGATTCCCTCCCTTTTTCTCACTCTCTCTGGCCTTCAGATGAGACCACAGCCCTGGCCAATAGTTTGCCTGCAACCTCAGTAGAGACCTTGACCCAGGAGCACCCAATTAAACTGTGCCTAGCATTTTGATCCATAGAAATCATGAGATAAATGTTTGTTGCCTCATGCCACCAAGTTTGAGAATCCTTTGTTAAGCAACAGTAAATAACCAGTGCAAGCATCAGTGGAAGATAAAGTGATTTCCCCAGTAACCATTGAAAGAATGAGCCAAGTAGTTACAGGACTCAGTGGCCAGTATACTCACTTTATAAATGAATCTGGGTTTTGAAGAGGTGTTTTTCTAACCTGAAGTAGTGGAATCACCACATGTAACTCCGTGCATGTAGGGACCTCATCAAACACATCTCTATCACTGGTTGGAATGGTTTAAAGATGGTTCTGCCCAGGGTACTATTTAAAATTCAGAGGGCAGGGCTCCACCGTAACTTGCTAAAATAGAATCTCTTGGCATAGGACCTGGATCTGCATTTTGAGAAAATCACCCTGGTAATGTTGCTGTTTAGTTCAATTTGGAAACTACTAGAAAAAAAATAACCTCTCCAAGTCATCTTGTATATTGAATTTTATTATTCCTTCTGTGTTAAAGGGGGTTACAAATATAGTGCAGGTAACACACTTTGGAAACTGAGTCCTAGCAGTGGGCTTAGCACACTTGAGTGTTGTAAATGTGGGTGTGGTTTCAGCAACTTGCAAAACTGTGGAAATTGAGCAACACCCCAAAACTTACTTGAATTCCTGAATCTAATCAAAGTAGTAATGGATTTTAGCATAATTCCATGAATGGCTTGTTTTCTAATAAAACGAACAACAATGTATTACTCAAACTGAATATTTTCTGAGACATCATGGTATGGGGAAGGAGACATTGGGATTAGTGTCAGAAGAACTGTGTTTAGGTGCTGGCTCCGCTGCTTGGCAAGTATTTGACCTTGAACAAGTAACTAAGTTCTATTTCTTCCAGTCTAGTTTGAATGGATTTACACATATGTTTTTATATTACCATGATCATACTATTATGTAAGTTTTTATCCTGCTTTTTTCACTTAACAGTACATTCTGAATGTTTTCTCATGTCATTAAAAGTTTTCAAAAATATAATTTTAGGGGCTCCATAATATTCCATTGTGTAGGAGTATCATAACCACTTCCTGTGGTTAAATATTTGTTATATCCAAGTTCTTACCATTATAAAAAACATTGTGAGAAACATATTTGCATACAAAATTTGTCTACATTCCTTAGAAGGAAATCTCAGAAATAAAATTACTGCATCTAAATGTATGAATAATTTTCCTGAGACACATTGCAAATTGCTCTTCAGAGAGGCTTCACCAACATGTACTTTTATCAGCAGAAACAGAATTTTCATTTCAATGTCAGCATAACCTTGCCAGCATAAAGCATTATTTTTTAAACGTTGCTAATTTTATGATTTATATATCCTTGCTAGTTTGATGGTCAAAATATGTCTTCTTGTTTTAATGTGTACTTTTTATCACGCTACTCACATTAAGTACTTTTCCGACATTTAGTACTGAGACTCCTCATTGGTAAAATGAGAAAAACAACCCTACTCATAGGGATATTGGAAAAATTTATGAAATGGTTATTTTGAATACCTCTTATGAATGCAATTATATGGTATATTCAAAGATAAAACTCTTATGATCTCAATTTAGTTGATAGCTATTTATATAAAGACAAATCAATCTCTCATGGGACATGGAGTTGAGGGCAAATCCCCTCCAACTCCTTCATCCCATGCATTTCCATGTCATGTAATTAGAGTTCAGTAGCATTAAGAGCTGTAATGAAGGGAACTCAAATAAGTGACAAATGGACCCAGCAGCCTGCATGGTTATCTCCACATTGTTACTCTCAGTAATGGTAGGTGTTGGGGGTGGGATGACTTGGTCAATTTTATGTTACTCTGGGGCTCCAGTTACTTAACAGCAACTTTCCATAGCCACTTCCTTCCTCTTTACCAGCCAGGTCCCTGAGTCATTGCTCAACAGTAGGTCCCAGCAGCAGTTAGCTCTCTTGAAGCAAGAACCAAGATATTGCTCCTTTCTGAATACCCTAGGAATTTGTCTGCCTCATGTAGAAACTGCTTGATTTTAACAGAATGAGAGCATGCACCAAGAGAAAGCTAGAATTCCCAGAATTCTTCTTCCTTTCCTTTCCTTTCCTTTCCTTTTCTCTTTTCTTTTCTTTTCTTTTCTTTTCTTTTTTCTTTTCTTTTCTTTTCTTTTCTTTTTTGACAAGGTCTTGCTGTCGCCTGGGCTGGAGTGCAGTGGTGAGATCCTGCCTCACTGCAACCTCTGCCTCCCAGGCTCAAGGTATTCTCATGCCTCAGCCTCCCGAGTAGCTGGAACTAGAGGCACATGCCACCATTCCTGACTAATTTTTGTATTTTGGGGGAAAGACAGGGTTTCTCCAGGTTACCCAGGCTGGTCTCGAACTCCTGGGCTCAAGTGATCTGTCTGCCTCGGCCTCCCAAAATGCTGAGATTATAGCCATAAGCCTCCATGGCTGGCCCAAAATTTCTATATTAACTGAATGACTTATATATTATTGCTCATTTAACTTAATTCTCTCACTTATTTGAAAAGAAAAATTAAGAAATAAAAACAAAATTATGATAAAGGCCTGAAAACACAGGGAGAATTTTTCAACAAATTCAATGTAAAACATTCAAGATGTTAAATAATATATGGTTCTCAAAAGAAAAATATGGTAGATTTAAATATAATCAATGTTCAGTCTGACTATAATTTGCTATTAGAGACCTGGAATTAAGCCTTCCTTTTTTCCAGGAACTCTGTCCTCTGTGCCTGGAGGCTGCGATGAAGTGGAAGTTGCAAGGGGAGACTCTGTTCTTTCTTATTTATAATTAAAAAATAAAAAGGGGGATTTGGGAACCACTTGTACTAGTGCCTATAAACCCACAGTAAGGAATTTTGCCCTAGTAGCTTTAAACAGACTATCCTTTTTTCTTCAAATTTATGGAGCAACTTTAAAGGCATTTTGTGTACATAATTACGCAGTCTGTGTTTTAATTCATTGGGAGTTCTGGCTGAGTATGGACTGCAAAGTTAGACATTTTGGGTTCAATTTTCTTTGATATATCTGTCCCAGATATTACTTTATTTTATTCATACAACCTCATGATGTGTCTATAAACTTGCTTTTTTATCATCATCATTCTGAAATCTTATGCAATAAATAGTGGTTGTGGGGCAGGGGGGAAAGAAAGTAGCCTCTTAACCTTTTTCAATAAGAGAGATGTCATTTTGTCCAGAAGGGCAGCTCATCTATGACTGCCTCCTTTCTGATGACCAGAATTATACAATGAGGCAACTGCAGCCCCCTAGAAGTGATAGTGTCCACAATGCTCAGGAAGCATTTGCCAGAGAAGCCCGCATCCATCATCCCACCTACAACTTGGGTTTATAAAATTGGAGCTCTGGTCAGGTGACCCTGGGTTTACCATAGTACAATGTTCCCCCAGCTCATGGTTGGTTTGGAATGACCATGACCACTGAAAACTGAGGGTACCCCAGATGAATCACAGTGGAGAAAAAGGCACCAAGGGATTCACCAGTTTGGAAATGGCCATTTCTAATCTTAATGTTCCATATATGGCAACACCAAATCCTTTGGAATGGGATGAATACAGAAAAGGCCTGTGTGTTCCACCTAAGCATTCTTCCTGCTGCAAGCTCTCTGGCCAGTGGTAGGGCATGCAGCATTGCTCTCTCCCACTTCATTATTTTAAATGCTATTCATATTAAGGAATAATAATAACTAATGTTTATGGGAGCTTGTTAAATGCTAGACACTGAGGCATGTTGAGGATTAAATGAGATGATGTCCAATGCCTCACTGAGTTAAGTGTTGTCACAATCTCACTTGTGAGGCTAGTAGACTGGATCTCAGAGGTCAGATAGCTTTCCCAGGCACTGGTCCAGGAATGGGCTCAGCTGGAATTCAGACACAGGCAGGCAGACCCCAGGGTCCCTGCTCCTCCCCACTGTGACTGCTGTAAGTGGTACAGACCCGTATTCTGGGCACAGGCATTAAATGGTCACAAGACTATGCTCAGTCTGTCTCACTTTTTATCAGGGAGTGAAGGAAAAGGTATCCAATCTATATAGGGAGATGCCCTGCAGATAGCAAGGCCAGCACTTCATGTCCAATCTTTCAGAGCTTAGTCAGACAGTTGATTTTCCCTTTCTAATGCTGTGACTGGGATGAGAAGGCAAAACAAAAATAATTAAAAATATAGTTATTTCTTTCCCTACTTGGCCCAAAGAAAGGTTCCATGGGAAGTTGAAAAACAGATGGTCCAGGGCAAAAATCAACAAGTTTGGCATCCAGGATTAAAAACCAGATGGTGCTAAACAATCTTTAGAAGCCTCTAGAGGGGTTCAAAGAAATTGCCCAAAACTCCATGTATCTTTCCATGAAGGCAAGTGGACTTAGTCATACATGATCTCATGCTCTGTGGCCAGGTTCTCGTCCACCCAAAATTGTTCCCTGGGATGGGATCAAGCTAAGCACTTTGGGAAAGGAATGGGACCTTTTAGGCCACCAAGAGCAGAGAATCCTAACATCTTATGGCTTTAATCAATGCAGTTGTTTCACTGAGTTGACCGATCAGATTAGGCACCTGCCTCTAATCTTCTCAGGGAGGTCAAGGCTCATAGAGAGCCCAGCATCTGAGGAAAATAAATGTTGTTTTTAGTATGTATGCTGTTAAAGTCCCAGCACATAAACCTCCAGAAGTCATACTTCTCCAACACCAGTCAGATGTAGAGGCATCTGAGTAATGGCTCTTGTAGGGAACCCTGTTCCTGCTTCCTGTTCTTCAGCTGCTTGGAAAACATTGCTGGAACACTGGGATCCAGTGAGGGAGATTCTTCCTGAAGTGTCCTGTGTCCCAGACTGTGACTTTTCTAACCAGCATGGATACAGTTGAAATCTAAGCTCCGCTGCATCTGCTCTTGCCATGATAGAAACACTGGCATAGCACGTGCTAGGTAGCAGGCCCTGGTCTAAACCAGTCACCTATGCCAAAGCATTTTATCATCACAGTGAGCCTGGGGGGAGGGTGTTCCTTTGAGGGGACTGATTTGTGGAGGTTAAGTAAGTTGGCAAAGGTCACTCAGGTGGTAAAGGGTGTATTAGTTTCCTGTGGCAGCCATAACAGAGTACCACAAACTGGGTGGCTTAAAACAACAGAAGGTTCTCATAGTCCCATAGCCCAGATGTCCAACACCAAGGCATCAGCAGGGCTGTGCTCCGTCCGAAAGCCCCAGGGAAGTGTCCTTCCTTGCCTCTTCCAGATTCTGCTGGCACCAGGTATTCTTTGGCCTGTGGCAGCCTCACTCCAGTCTCTGCTTCCATCTTTACTTAGTCTCTTCTGGGTCTGCATCTTCTTCTGTCTCCTATAAGGAGACACTTGTCATTGGATATAGGACCCACCCTGATAATCCAGGATGTTCTCATCTCTGAGAGCCTCAATGTAATTACATCTGCCAAGACCCTTTAAGGGTCTTTGGTCACATTCACAGGTACCAGGGATTAGGAGATACACATATCTTTTGGGGATCACCATTCAGTTCCCTACAGCTGAGCAGCTGGGATTTGACTCAAGCAGTCCAACTCCAGCATGTGGCCTCCGACCATCACGCCACGCTCTCTGATGTGGTTACTTTTCACAGGTGTCAGCAAAATGCCTGCTCAATGATCTGAAATTTTTTCACAAATCATCACAGAGCTGAAATGCTCATTTTTCTGTGCTGCTACTCTGTCCATGTTCCAGAAGGGCAGCACATTAAGTCTGCACCACATCACGCATACCCTGACAGATGGAGAGAACATCGGCAAATCAGGTTGGTTTGTAAAGAAAACAGAATCCAACTTTGCAAATGTTAAAAGCTTGCATATTTTCAAAATTTCAAGCAAAAGTAGAAAACCTCATTACCTCACATCACAGTTGACAAAACCACCATTGACAAAGAATTATCCTACATGCAATGAAAACCTGATTTAAGGCAGTGATTGTCCAAAACATGGGTGTTAGGTCACTACCTGGATATCAGCAGAGTTGAGGGTTCTACCCTAGTTCTTTTTTGATGAGGGAAAACACTATTTTTAAATGAAGCCTGCCACTTCCGTGTAGAAAACATAAAGCTGTGGACAATCACCATTGTCATTTAAAGGGTGAGCTGTATTTCTTCTGAAGTAAAGTGATGAGTCCAGGCAGCACACTCACTCTATCAGGTATGATTTGAAACAGCTGAAAAACCTCTGACAATAAGATTTTAGGACAGAAATGCTGCCAGGGCTCAAAGTACAGTTCAGAAGAATAAAAAGAAAGTAAACAATGCCAAAGGCCAGACGGACAAAAGGAAAATTCTTACTTTGTTTGTTCTCATGAAATACAACAGAAAAATAATCTGTTAGGCAGCTCTTCTGGAGTCCAAGTTCTTGTGCCATGCTCATCTCTTCTTTCTGTTAAAGCTCGGTGCTTTGCAAGCTGTTGTTAAATTGCTTACAGGGATGGATGGGGCCAAGATGGTTTTCAGTCTAAAGACTGTCACTGGAGAGTCTCAAGGCAGATTCTGAAGGCCTTGAACCACCTGAGCCTGGCCAGATGGATTCTTCCTTTCATTGTTGTGACCATTACTTTGGTGTCAGACCCCTGTGGGAGAGCTGAGTCCATGACCAGAATCCTCATGCCTTTCACAACTTCAATTAGTCAAGAGCATGGCACAGAGCAGAGGTGCTGGTGAGAGAAAACAACACGTAGGTGAAAAGCCTCTAGATTAGCCATTTCAAACAAGAGGCACTCATTTTGCCCAGCACCCAGAGTTGTCCAATAAACAAGCCAGAAACTCAACCAGGTGGTGACGGAACAAGGAATGGATGAGTGACAAACTGGGCTGTTGATTCTGTTGTAACTGAGGCTTGACTGTACTAACAAGCATGCAGTGATTAAACAGACCAGCACCAGAATTTTACCAGCTACCTTGAAGCCTGCTGACTGGCACTGTCCCTGGAGCCCCTGTTATAATGAGGTCCTTCTGATAAATTACTCCCTTGGATAGAGTCCAAGAGAGACACGTGCCCTGTGGAATTCCGCACTGTAACCAGCCATGCTTCAGAGAGATTCCAGAATAATGATGGTATTGCTTATTTAGGCTGAAGGTTATCTGCTCCTCCTCCTCCAGATCCCTGCCAGTCAAGGGAAGGGCATCTCATTGGTGTCAGATGACAAGGGTCTTGTTCCCTTTACTGGAATAAGCTTTTCATGTCATACAGACTCTGAAAGTCCTGAAAAGCCATCTCTCTTGGCCTTTACTTAAAGAAAGAAAGTATCATAACCTGCCACAGCAGTGGGGACAGCTGGAGCCGGGGGTTACTATTCGCCCTTGTTACTATTCGTGTAGGCTCTTAGGGAAATGTCCAAAAAGCTCTTTATGGCTCTTGCAATTAATTCTGAAATCCTGGTTGTCACTTGTGGGTAGAAACATATGGTTTACAAATGGGTTGATGATTATTATTTCAAGGAAAAACTAAAACATTATAATGAGAGTTATAACATAATGGTGGGATAGTATAAATAGGGAGAGAATTTGTAGTGTTTTCTTGTTCGTTTTGTTACTTGAATAGACAGCTAGGGGGAAATGGCATTCTATGGGGGAACTGATGGGATTTATTTCAGATTTATTTAAATAAATAAATAAATTTATGTATTTATTTATTTATTTACACACCTCTTTTTTCCCATCTAAGTTATAAACTAATTCAGAGATGGACAAAGAGTAAGGTAAAGGAAGGTCAAAATATTACCTTGGGCAGGGCACAGTGGCTCACACCTGTAATCCCAGCACTTTGGAAGGCCAAGGCAGGAGGATCATTTGAGTGCAAGAGTTCAAAATGGCAACATAAGAAGACTCTGTCTCTCCAAAAAAGAAAAAGAAAAAGAAAAGAGAAAAAAGAAAAGGAGGTGAGGTGGCACATACCTATAGTCCCAGCTACATGAGAGGCTACGGTGGGAGGATCACCTAAGCCCAGGAGGTCAAGCCTGTAGTGAACTGTGATCACACAACTACACCACAGCCTGGGTGACAGAGTAAGACCCTTCCTCAAAATAAATAAATAAATAAATAAATAAATAATTACCTCAGTTCGTGAGAACAGCAAAGATGTGTGGCATGACTAGCTCCATTCCCTGGAATTAGGAAATATCACCACACTTATGGTCAATCTTACAAAACTTAAGCCTTCCCACTGAGGGAGGGGCCCATAGACATGACAAAGTAGAGCAGAATGTGGCTGTTTTCCAGGGGAAGCTGGCTTCTAATGAAAAGGGAGGGAGGGAGGGCCTGGGCTTCCTGTGCAGATTCATTTCCCTTGGTCACCAGCAGGTCACTCACCCCACCTCCATGGGCATTAGCCATGAGGCAAGAAGTAAGTGGAGTTTAGAAAGAATCCTTGTTTCTGGAAACCAGAGAGGAGGGAGACAGGGTTCACTCAATGAGTAGGAACTTCAATGGTTAAATGTATCTTCCTGCAACAAACATCCATGTAACTATTTGAGGCCAGAACGAATTCTTCATGGTGTTTCTTTAGGTGATTCCTCCAAGGGAGGCCTGTGGTATGCAGGGGATTTTCACCAAGACCAGCGTTCTCATGAGTCTAGAGGCTTATCCGCCCTTAGAGGATTGGAAGATTTGCATCCGATTCCACAAGCTGCTAGTCCAATCCTCTAAGGCTCAAATCTGCTAGGGATCCATACCATGAAGGCAGTTCTTCACCTGAGTTTGCTTTGGAGTCTGACATTTTTCATTATGGACATCAGTGATTCACACCTTGATTGTACTTAGAATCACCCAGAGGGAGCTTTTAAAAAGTACTGGTGCCCAGGCCCCTCCTCAAACCAAGAAAACTGAGGACTGTGTGGACGAACCTGGACATGGATGGCTTCACAAAGCTCTCCAGATGAGTCTAACGTGCACTCTGGCTTGAGAAGCATGGAGTGGCAGTTACAGAAGCCTAGGTTGGCAGCTGTCTCAGGCAGGCAATGTAGAATGGCAGTTAAAACTGTTAGCTCTGGAGAAGAATCCTGATCCCGCTCCTTACTGCGTGTTGGTTAAGTTACTTAACATTCTTAGTCTCCCCAGGGTGACCAAGTCCATCCATAAAAGGAAATCCACTCCAGTAAGTGAGTTGAAGCCTTGGTCTTCAGTATTTATGATGGTCAACCCGAGAAGGTTCCTTTTGTTTGATCTCACTCTTCGTGTCTGTTGCAAATGGCAATGAGCCAGAACTCTGCCATGCAGATGCTTGGGTTATGCCCATGCCAGAGAGTCCAGTGTGACTCAGGCTCAATCAAAACAGAAAGTACCATCCTGAAGTCAGGGGCTGGATTTCCCCTGCCAAAATATTCAACTCTCATGGTATAATTTTTTTTTTTTTTGCTTATTCAATTCATATTTTGAATTCATATTATGAATTAGTTGAGTTTTTAGATATGCTTAGTTATTGGTCCATGTCACAGCTATCTAGCCTGTAAGGACCGTTTCTTCTTGCTCTTATCTTGAGAAAATCACACACTGCTGCTTAGTTAATAAATAGTTCTTGATTATGGGAATAATTATGGCCTTGGAAGAATTCTGTTTATATAAGCAAGAACTCTTAGGTCTTAATCTTACAACTGAAAGGGATCATAGAGACCCAGGTCTTCAAGTCGAAGGGAAACTTGCCTAGGGCCACACAGGCACTCAGAGGCAGGCCCAGATTTGACTGTTCTCTCTCCAAGTCCATTTTTCTTCCGTCTTTATCATGTTGCCTCCCTATACAACCCTCTAAACTACTTCTCTCTCTTTTCTAAATCCATTTTATTCTTATTTCTCTTTCTGCCACAAATGTTCCAAATTTATGAAGAAAGAAAATGGAGAAAATATTTGAGTATACATTTCTGGTTTCCATGCTTAGATTGCTTCAGAGGATTAGTTTTATTGTTCCAGCTTGTTTCTCTATCAGTTTAAAGGGCAAAACAATTTCCACACTTCTGAAGCAGCAACAGGTCAGTCCTCTGCCATCCTCCCCCATGGCCAGGCAGAGTCAACTGCAGTCCATGGGTGCCTTCCACCGCCTTCCTCCCTGGGATGGAGCCAGACAGACCTGCAGAGGGACGACCACTCAGCTTGGGCAGCCAAGACAATACCTGTCATCGCAGTAATGGGCTTGAAGCCCAGTGTCCTTCACTGCCAGCCTTGATGGCTTTAGGTGTGAAAACTCTCCTGACAAAGGAGGCTCTCACAGGCTCCAGTCATGGGAGCCCTACTGCCAGGATTTCAGGAAACTAGGGTGAAATGGGCAGAACAAGAGTTTGTCCAACAACTGAACAGGACAGGAGGTTCCCACTGCTTGGAAATCTATCTGTGTGTTCCAGAGACGTGCAGAACAAAGACCTGGTTATTTTGGCAAGAACAGGAAGGTTTAGATTATCCTTTTCCACCCCGTGAAAGTGGCCACCTAAGATGTGAGTGTTGAAGGAACATCTGTTTTAACACTAACAGAGCGTCAGTGAGGGTCTCACCATGGTCTTCACTTCGCAGACATAGCACAAGCAATAAGAGAGCTGCAGCTGTTGGATGCATACATAGTTAAAGACTTTGCCTCTCCTTTTTATCTCAGTGTTTCCAACATGACGGTGAGCACCAAGTGTTCTCCAATGGGCTCTGTTCCTTTCTGCTCCCACTAGCAGCTCTGAAGTTTCATGTAAGACCACATGTTGCCTCCTTAAGGTGATTTTTGGAGAGGGCATTTGGGAAATGACAAAATCAAAATATCCAGCATGAGCCTTTGCACATCTTTCATGCATTGGGTGCCTGAGATGATAGAATTGGATCTGGAGGCATATGCTATGTGTAGAACAGCTTTCCCCATCTGGAGTCCAGGTGTGCAGGTTCACCCCTGAGTCCCAGACATAGGTATTAGTGAGTAGTGAGAGTAAGACAAATCCATCTCACCTACCCTTGTTCCATAAAAATGATTTTACCCCTTGAGGTACAACGTCAAGATCTAATTTTATTCGTAGATCAAGTTTCACAACAATTGAGCATTTGAACACGCTAAGAAAGATGGGATTTTGTAACTCATTGTTGAAAGGCAATGTGGCATAATGGTTAAGGGTTTGCATTCTGAAATTAGAGAGACTAATTTTGAAATTAGAAATTTGTTCTCTCTGTGACCTTAGGAAAGTAATGCAATTTGTCCAAACTTCAGTTTCTTCATCTATAAAATAAAGATCATTATAATTCCTATCTAGAAGTAATGGTGTAGTGATTAAGAAGGAGACCACTTGTGAAAAACATAAAATACTACAAGGCCACTCACGTCATGAAAATGCAGTTCACCGGATACTATCATTATTATCAATTTTAGAGGCACAGACTTCCTTCTAAATAAAACTCCTTTCCAAACACTTACATCTACAGCCACTCATTCTATCTTCTCCCACTGTTAGAATGTCCTCATCTTAAGCCAAAATCTCACTACCCTTGTTTTCTGGCCTTTTAATTTGTACCTACTTTTTGAAACCACATGGAAAAACTCAAATCCCTTTCTGTAAAGGCAGTGACTGGGCCACTGTTTTGCACAGCTCAAAGGGACACAGTTCACACTATAATCTGTGTCAGTGGCACCCCCTGGTGTCCACCCCACTGGAGAGGTGAATAGGGAGGATAGAGGGGAAGAAGTGCTGTAGAGAGGCTGGACGTATTCTTTTCCATGAAAATCCCTGGTGAAGTAAGGATCATACCAGTGTACTACCTTCCCCAAACAAAACAGCTACAACTCTACCAACTCTACCAACAGTTCTTCACAGGACATGATCTCACATCAGAGCCCATTGTGCTTTGACCACGTTTTTCTGAAAGTGAGGTGCTCAGAGCTAAGTCAACATTTTGGGTGAGACATGACCAGGGCCCAGGAGAGCAGAATTCAACCTCCTTCATTTTTCTACATACCATAATTAGGATGCTACTGTGATACAAGGTAATCTTAGCACTGAATTCCTAGAGCCATTATGTTCTGAGCAACAGGCTTGGTTTTTATTCATACATTGTCCTATAATATCACTTCACTTGTCACGAATTGTTACTCATTTCACTTTATATAAGTGAACTATATATGTATGTGTGTGTGTGTGTGTGTGTGCGCGCGCCTGTGTGTTTCTTCATACTGTCTATGTTGGGAGTTCCCTGAAATATATGTTTTTAGACATTTTAATGACTCCTGTTAAATCTAGCACATTTCTGGGACCATAAAAATGAATCTAATTTGAATATTTAAGGAGAACCAAAGCAAAGGGACAGCATCTATTAAAATTTAAAATGGCCACTGTGGCAATGGAATCAATCTCTTCTGTGCACACAGTGGATAAAGCACGCTAGAAGAAATGGTGGTAAGTTCTTATTTGGTGAATGAATCATAATTCCCCAAAGGACAAGCATGATGCTTATGGCAGCCCTTAGTAATAATTCTTCATGTGTGGTTTTCCTGCTCATATTTTCTATGTATGCAGTGATTTCCAACTACACCCTGTGGAGCCCGTGGGGTTCTGAAGGGATGCTCCCAGGATGTGTGGGGGGAGCAGGAAGAGCAAGAGTGGAGGGCGGGGCTCCTGTCAGCCCTCAGTTGCCCCTGGAGCTGTCAGCCTTTCCCTGTTGTATCTACTGGCCCTTCCTGTAATATTTCCTTTGTGAATAAAAAGTTTAGAAACCATAAGTTAAGCCGCGCTCTGGTCACATCAGACTGGCAGAGTATGATCACTTTCATGTTTTGTCTCAGAAAATGGATTTCTAGGTGAAGTATATTTAAAAAGAGGGTCACCAGGCACAGTGGCTCATGCCTGTAATCCTGGCACTTGCGAGGCCAAGGCAGGCAGATTACCTGAGGTCAGGAGTTTGAGTCCAGCCTGGTCAACATGGTAAAACCCCATCTCTACTAAAAATACAAAAATTAGCTGGGTGTGGTGGCATGTGCCTGTACTCCCAGCTACTTGGGAGGCTGAGGCACCAGAATTGCTTGAACCCGGGAGGCGGAGGTTGCAGTGAGCTGAGATCGTGCCATTGCACTCCAGCCTGGGTGACAAAGCAAGACTCTGTCTCAAAAAAAAAAAAAAAAAAAAAAAAAAGGTTAATTTCCACATTTGGCCCAAATGTGGTCTGAACTTCAACAGCCGTGGATTAAAGAGAAAGCGACCACACCATCATCACCATCACCCTCTCTATCCCTGTCAAGCCCCAAACACACACAGTGGAAATGGAATTCAGAGCTAGAGTAAACCCAGGGTCTTGATGGACACCTTCAAAGCAGCACTGCAGGTCTGTGATTTCCTTCAGATTTGGGGAGAGTCCCTTGAGAACTCCTACCCTCATCTTCTGTTTCGACGGCAGAAAAAAGGGCACTGTCTGTCTTTGTTTTGCGTTGCTATAACAGAATACCACAGTCTGGGTAATTTATAAAGAAAATTTATTTCCCACAGCTTCAGAGCCTGGGAAGTCCAATATCAAGGTGCCGGCACCTGGCAAAGGCCTTCTCCTGGTGTCATAATCTGGCAGAGGGCATCATAT